TAAAAAAAACAAACAAACAAACAAACAAACAAGGAAATCTCTATAGCTGATGAAAAGTAAAAGGTTTTTAATGAAGGTCATTATTTATTTCTTTCTTTCTAGGAGTTAAGAAGCATTTGATCACTTCTATACTAAGTAGGGTCAATCCAAGGCATTTTCATGTTTAGTATCCTCTACCTTGACACAGAAGGACAAAGGTCCAGGCAAGATAATCTGTAATGAAATGTCTCATGCAAGAAGCCAAGGGCAATTCTGGACTCTGTTTATGTCAAAATGTCCCAAACACATGATTTTTCCATTCCATTATAAACAAGGTATCAGTTTGTATCAAGTTATCAGTGAACTCCTTTAGGTACTATTATTTTAAATTATCATACCTGAAGAGTTTGCTCTGTGTATAAATATATATTTTAGAACATTAACAACATAGATGCAGAGTTGCACAAAACTGGACATTTACAAGACTACAGATTCAAGCAGCAGATACCAGATAAAAAGTTCTCAGATATTTCCTGAGAACTTTGACGATAAAATCTGTAGATAACAATACAAATCAGACCTCCTGGTGAGAAAGACAATTATCACAATATGTAAAACAGCACATATATTGACAACAAAAAATAATTGAATGAAATATCAGAAAATAAATAATAAATAAAAAGAGTTGAAGATCATTCGGGAGCAATTTCACTGTGTGAAATATTAGTCTGCCAGTGCACATCATACGGGTATCCAAGAGTACAAGATGGAAATCTTTCTTTTAGAGCCTCTAGTGAACTGCAAGCTCAGTATAGAGCAGACTGACAGGTGGAAGAAGAAACTAAAAAAAATTGATGTGCTAATTGAGGCTTGTCAACTCTGTAAATAACATATTTCAAAGTCAGGAAAAATTTTCTCTTCAAAGATATGAGGACATTGTTTTCTTCTGAGAACTATCATGTCTTGGTAGAACTTGAAGTGTTGTTGTGTATATACAGTAATCACATCTTTATTACTGTACGTGAAACATTACTTAAAGGCAATTACAAAATTTGTTGTTGGTGAACATGAAAAAACCTGAATTTCATGTGTAGAAATTATGTATGAAATAACTTGAATTTCAAGTATAGAGAATATTTTTTTCTTCTAACAAGATATAACTGTTATCTACTCTTGTACTTTAAATCTAAGAAGAATTGGTTTTACATAAAATTTGTTCATCAGAATTACCCTATCTTACATGTAAAGAGTATGCAAAGTTTAACAAGTAAACATTCAATGTCAGTAGCAGTATTGTGCATCTCTCCTCCCGATGTCATGAAGTCATGTCCTTGTGATGTCTTGAAGTCATGATTCTGGTGATACTAGTAATTTTAAGAAGATATAATTGTACATCTTTTTCAGATCAGCATAGCAAGCAGTGAGTCCAATATCATAAAACTGTAAATTAAACTACTGTAGTAACTTACTATAGTGCTCTATTGAGTAGAATGTCTATAAGTAAATGCTGAAACTAGAAGAAATTTGTATGATGCTTGGAAGGGGTTACATGAAGCTAACTGAGGAGGGTGTAATTTGCAATGCAACACTACAGTATTGGATTACTTTTTTGTTCATACAGACTATGATGATGTGCAGAAAAACTCTACCATAAACCATAGCACAGTTATATCAATCTCATATAAAAGAGTTTTTTGTTCATGCATTGAAGATGCTGTTGTATTCTGTTGGGTTTTTTTCTTGTTTTTTTCTTTTTTCTTTGTCTTTTATATTTTCCTTTTTTTTTTTTACTTTTTTCTTTTTTTTTTTTTTTCCTCCCACACTGATAATCTAATAAACTTCACTTCAAATTGCAGTCTGCCTGGATCAGTTCCAAGAATCCCAATTTTCTAGGCACACATGAGTGCACAGTAAGTAGCAACACACTACATGGCAGGTAGTTCTAAAAATACTTCCAAGGTAATTTCAGGATATACCAGATGTAGGATGTATTTCATTTTTTTCTCACATTCTTTAGCATTTCCTACCTGCTTCCAAACTGCCTCTTCTGCTTTGATTCCTTTGATGGGTGCCAGTGAGTACAGTGTGGAACAAAAAGTTTTCTACAACTTCAACAATTTAAAAGTGAAACTATAAAGACAGTCATTTCAAACATATGCTGAAGAACTCCTTCATGGAAATATTTTTTTGCAGAGTAAAATTTTGTATTACAAAAGGATTTTTCTTTTACATATGCACATGTTTTTGGCTAACCTGACTGGGCACATTACAAAAAATATCCATGTAATCTTTCGTTATTAAAGCAGCTTCTAGTATTAGATACTGTTTAAAAAAATCAAATGTTTATTCTCACCTTATCACAGAACAGGATTTGAAATTTGAGTTTGATTTTGATTGGGAGGGAAACCAGACATCTTTCAGAAGAACAAAGGAAAATGAAATAGTCTCATAATCTGTAACTATCCTACATGTAATTTTGCCATAAGAAAATATATTAATCTTTCAAAGTTTTTTTAAAAAATACATTTAGTTAAGGAAAATTCTGTTATTCATCTGTATCAAACCTACTTTACTACTGCAATGGCATAATTTCTTTTTTACTTTAAACCCTGCAGGTTAGAAGCTGCAGTTTTGTGGCCCTCTTAAAGAACAAATCTTTCATATATAAACTAGGAATTTACATGTGTCTTCTGCTCTAATTTTTAACTATTTATCACCTCTTGTGAGACAAATGAAAGGAGATAATATTTTTCCTCCAGCAGGAGCCATCAGGTTACGTGGTGTCTCGTTAATAAAGGGTAATATCCTGTCCAATTATAATATAATAAGTATGTGAGTGAAACTCCACATAAAAATAAAAAGTTAATGCAGCAGGCAGGCTGGAAAAATATTATAATCAACATTTTTTACACAAGTCTGACAGAAAATATGGAAAATATACAATAATTGCCTCAAATACCAAGAACATAAAAATAAACAAGTGACAATGTGAAAAAAAAAAAAAAAAAAAAAAAAAAAAAAAAGGTTATTCAGTCTTCAGAATGCAAGAGTGAGGAGTTAGACATTGCTAAACCTCTGGGGAAAATGTTGACCCTTATCAGGCTTATTTGGATTCATCTTTTATAAACCAATTCAACATTCATGGAATAATTCCAGTTAAGGTATTTATGCAAACCTGAAGATAGAATTGTCTAATTACAATAGGTTGTACATTCAATTACACTTACTGTGCTTTGTTTACATGTATCACATGAAAAGAAACACATTCTTTTGTTTTTTGCGATTTACATCTCCCCTTTTTTCTGGTGTAAAGTGAAGATTTGCTAGACTTTTGGTACTTTTCTCTCAGCTAACCCCAATTTCTTTAAACATTTTTTTCCAGTTGAATTAAGATCCTTTATTTATCTCAATCAGTGAATTCTTTGGAAATTCGGGGGAAAACAGCATCTTGTATCTGTTTCCGCATGGAAGAACTCTTACATTTTAGTGGACTTTTTGAACATCTGTCAGTACAACATTTTTCCATCTCTTTTAGGCTAAATGTCAAGTGATAATTACTGAAATGAAGTATTGCAAAATGTGGACTATTTATCATGGAGTCATGATCACTTTTGAGATGTGTATTGAGTTTATGTCAAATACAGAAAATGAAAGTGAACTTATTTTGGAGAAAAGAAAACATATACATAGACGTATACTGAAAGACTGTCAACCTTTATACAAAATGTCTTTCAAAGGTCTGGAAGTCTTTCTGGGGTGAGTGTGGTGCGACACTATCATCTCAGTCAAATTCCTTCTGTTTTAACTGGACAAACTGTGAATTTCACTCTTTCCCTTTAAATGCACTACCTATCACAATAAAGGTCTTATGAACATGTGCATTTCCCAGACTTATTTTCAGGTGCTTCCATATGTTGTGAGAACATACTTCAAGATGAGGAAAGAAACGTATACAAATTATATGAGAAAACAAAAGAAAAAAAAAGAAAAAGAAAGAAACACCTGCAGGGCATCAGTGTGAAAAAATGTTTAAGCTGCCTGTTATTAACTGCTCAACCTGTTTTATGCTGGATTTCTGAATAATTATGTTACAGTGGAGGGGGGAAAGAACAGATGTTGAATAAAGATTGAAAATAAGAAAATGAGACTCTTAAAAAAAAAAAAAAGTAGTTGTGGTTGCTCTCAGCTAGATGTTTTTTGGCAAGACTTTTAGACAGCAATCTATTTCTCAAATTCATTGCCCATTTCTGCAAGATTAATGTAAAACAAAATGTTTCTTTTTAAGTCTGATCAGTTGAACAATTATACAGCTCCAGTAATCCCCAAGTCAGTCTTTCAGAAAGCAGCTGAATGTTTCCTCAAGCAGTTTCATAAATTAGATTAAATGAATATGATATCAGGTCAGAAACCCTATAAGCTCTTTCCATGGGAAGTTGTTGATAGCTTATGTAATTAGCTCTTTTCTTCATGCTTTGCAAATATCCCCAAAATCCATAGAAGATATATTTTTCACAATCTTTATGGAATAAATGCCACTGAAGTATAATTACATGTTTTTCTGTCCCCTTTTCTCACACTTGCATCATGCTTTAAAGCAAACAGAACTATCATTTTTTAAGAATGTCTCAAATTTTTTCTCCACTTAGTTGATATTTTCTGGCACTGATCAGGAAAGCATTACGAAATTGCTGTCAGAATAGAACTATCTGAAAAAAAGGGGCTGAAACTACATGCAGAGTTACTAAACCATGTGCATCACCACTCTACTGCATACTCCCTTTTACCCTGAGTAGAATATTTACCTCAATGGGAGTTATTCATGAATATGATCTGCAGTGGTCCTTAACTGGAAGAGTCATGAGCTTTAATGAAACTGTTACTGCACTTTTTCAGAGATGGCTATTCACAAGGTTAATATAAAATCAGGGACCATTTCGGGAAAGGGATTCAGATGTGAAATGAATCCTTTCCCCAGCATTTTAATTTTCTTCTTGTTAACTGAAAATATTTTATTTTTCAAGCATTCCCGACTTTGCTTTCCTTTGCTATCCTCACCCTACATACCATCACAACTAGACTTCAGTCTGTTGAACTGCTTCTTTCAGGTGAGCAAATAATTCATCTGTTAGCTGTCCTCTCATGTGATACAAAATTTACATGTGAGATTATAAAGCTGTGTAGGGTTTGTTTTTTGAAAAGTCATAGCTAAAAAAGTCACATCTCAGAACTGGATAAACTCTGTTATTTCCTGAAGAGCTTACAAGTAATTTGATGAAGAAACCACACATTTATATGTATTTTGTATTTAGGGGGTTTGGACTGAAATTTTCTCTGAAAAAAAAAAATATTTAAAATTATATTACTCTCTTATTCTATTTGCTTTTGTTCTCATAGAGCTTCTAAAAGATAGTATGCCAGTTGGAGGAGTTACAGATGTGAAAAAAACAACCATGTGAACTTGTATTACTTTGGGTGTATGATGTGTGCATGCACATTTTCTAGACACATTCTTATTACAGATCCTTACTGTAATTGTAAGTGAAGAGCAGTAGCTCAGTGTTATAGTATGTTTAATACTGCAACTGTGCCATTACCACCAATCTCTATAGGAAAGTATGGTTCATGGGTACCAGCAGGTTGATGGATCTGTCTGTGGAATCAGAACAAATCTTTCTTATGATTCATTTTTGCCACAGATAAGCCATAAAATGAAGACAGCAGATTGATGGAGGTTTAGTTTTTCTGCTCTTGTTTTAAACAGTAGATGTAGAACAGGTTCTTCTATTTTATAGCCTGAAGCTGAACTGTCAACATAAAAGATGTACGGACTTAATACCTGAGAGCTGGGCAAAGAATTTTTTCCCACTTTTTTTTAGAGCAGATTAAACACCACACAATATAGCTTATTACTGGCAAGTGTAAATTTATTGAAAAGGCAGATTTTGCTAAAACATTAAATACTTTGTCTTATTACTACCTGCTTTACTGCAAGACACAGATTTCAGCTGAGAATTAAAAAGGTTTTCATCTACAGTTTACCTGTCCATATTGTGAGAATTTCTATACCTGACCAAAAGTAAAAAAGCTGGAAAGATTATTTTTGTTTTTTGCCTGTGAGAATACATGTGACTGACTCAATGTCTCACTTGGTGTCATGTAACTGCAGTCAGTATACAATTTTGAGTTTATTAAATCTGTACTTCATGAGGCAAAACCCAGAACTGATTATAATACGTAAAGTAAAATAGAAAAAGTTGATAACCATTTAGGTTTTGTTCAGCTTCAGACATTAATTCTATGGCTTATTTTATTTCTAGTTCTTTTTATTCAAAGAAAAAGTAGACTTGTGGACACTTCAGAAAACTATATGTCACTATCAAAAGAGCATTCTATTACATATTATGAAGGAGGAACAGCCAAAGAGAAACATGAACAGACAAAAAAAAAAAAACAACATGAGAAAAAAAAGACTAAAAAATAATTAAAAAAAATAAAATAAAAATAATTAAGTAATATGTTGGTTTTGACATATTTGGCAATAGTTTATATTTCATTAAAGCAAACATGCTTTTCAGAAGATATTTCTCCTGTTGATCTCTACAGAAATGCATATACATCTCTAAAAGGAGATCCTCTGGATATGTGTAGGATAAAAAGTCCTATTGTCTTCTTTTCAACTCACCTCCTTTTGGGTAAAACCCTGGAGTTGCGGAAGAAATTAAGTTAGGGCTTAGCTAGGGTCTAGTTTTGTAAATATTTTAAAATTAATCACATTTATTTTTCCCATAAACAAAATTAATTCTTAATTTTAAATTATGGAACTGGTTGCATTTATATGTTTTTGCTACATATTTATAACATAATCAATGCTGGTAAAACAACCTTCAAATAAAAATGTGCTGAAACGCATTTTGGCTTAGAGCTTACTGGAGATAAAACTTCTTTTGTGTTACATCACCTTTTTTTTTCCAATTTAGCTTAATACCAGTTAAAAGGAAAAAAAAAAAAAAAAAAAGCAGATAAACAAAGCCACACCTAATACAGATGAGCTTAAGCACAACCATTGAAATAATCTTTAAATTAAGCTTGAAGAGAATTGTGACTTAGTGAGAAAAATAAACTGTTTTAAAAGGTGGACTGGAAGTTCTTTATCACTGATTTGATTTTATTTTATTTTGGTTTTAATAGGGTTTTGCATTTAAGCAAAACTGGTATATACCAGACATTCCCTGCATGTTTGCCAACACGTATTATGTGCAGACTTGTAAATTTTTGTTTCTGCTTAAAATTCTTCAGAATGACTTATTGATAAATGTTCCATTTAAAAAGATTTTTTTTTCTACTCGTGGAAAATGACATGCTTAAGCTTTCTAGGTTTAAAGTTTGTTGACCTGAAAGTTTATACTCATACTTTTCCCTTCCTTGTGGGAACTGTTCTTGGATGCTACTTAAAACTGTATCCAAATAAGTGATATTTATTGTGGGCTGAAGGTTTATAATATAGTGCGTGCTGGAGAATGGTAAGGCTAAACTTGCAATTCTGATATAGAGAAACAGTTCTCTATTTGACTCAGGTTCTTGCTTTTTTTCCTCCTAATCTTTATATTTTGATCAGATAGAAATATGTTGGTGTCCTATGATTAATTTTGTCCTGTAATCTCTTGAAACTTCTTCTTTCTTGTCCTTTGCTCAAGGTGTAAGAAGCTAATCTGCTCAATTTTTTTAAAGTAGCACTAGGAGATCTTTATCCTTGTGGAATAGGTAGGAATACAAGCAAGTTAATTTAAATTAGTTCTTTCTGTACTGGTGTAAGATGGTATGGTTTTCATTAATCATGTGTGTGTGTGTTGTTGTGTGATGTAACACAGCTGGGCACAACCAGCTGGAGCATGTCTTCAAAGAAGTTTTGGAACAGCTTTCTTGAAAACTGCTGTGAAAGAAATAGCACATTTTTGTAGCAAGACCGATTAATCAAAATAGGCCTTTCTTAACACAGAAACAAAAGAATCCAATTAGATGTCAGTTCTGCATCTCTCCTCATAATCACTGCCAAGATTCTGTGCAAAGTGTCTCATTATAGAAGACTAATATTGCTCTATTTAGAATAGGGAACCAAGTATTTTCAAGTATTTTGGCTTAAAGATGATAACCTACATCTATATTTAGACATTTGGAGTTCAATTTTGGTCCAAGTTCATATGGTTAATTATCAGTGGGATTCAGATTAATTGTAAATATCTACATTAGGGTACACATTGTATTGACTCTCTTGAGTAGGTCTCCATGTACTGTAATGGGAAATTAGACACCTATCTGGTACATGGACTCTTTCCTTGGAGGCACGCAAGTCCCCAGAACCTGGGACTATATCCTACATACATTCCTTAGTTATGTGTAAATGTATGTACCTGAGTGTGTGAAGAGTGCAAAGTAGTACTGAATATTGAGTGGAAGTGTCCAAGTTAGTTCAGTGTCAGAATCAATCTGGACACATTAGTGAATCTTTTTAATCAGGCTAATCTGCCTCTCAAGGAGAATTTACTTAATCATATTTTACATTGATTTGGCCAGAAAGTGATATTTGAAAAACCTAGCCAATAAGTAGTTTATGGTAGCATTCATGATCTCCTAGGTGTCTTCCAGATACTCAATTTAAAAAAAAAAAAAAAAAAACAAAAAACAAACAAACAAACAAAAAAAAAAAAAAAAAAAAAAAAACAACAAACACCCTATGTAAGTACATTAGTACAACTTTCAACAACAGTTACAGAGAAAATAATTTGATTTTTAGATACTTTTTCAGGGTTTTTTTAGGTATAACTCCATGAAATTGCAATCTGTGTCTGCCTGTTTCCCTGATTACCCATAACTTCTGAACCAGTATTTATCCAGGGACAGTGGTCTCAAAAATAAGTTTTCACACATTTTGTGGATATAGACAGCTGTAATAGACTATGTAAGTGCCCAATATAAGTGAAAAACTGATGTCAGAGATTATTAGACACTGAAGACTCTTGACTGAAGAAAGTAATTAATAATGCCTCAGTTACCAAGAAAACTTCAAGCAGACCATGCTTTCCAAGACACATTAATCAATAATAATACAAAGATTTGCAGAAAATAAGCTTTAATTAGTTCCATTCCTCATGGAACTATGTGTTATTGTTAACATGTTATCTTTGTAGATGGTGCAACAGAAACAGGTCTAGTGAACAGAATTAAGCACAGGGAGACTAACAGCCCTGTGGAGAAATTCAAGGAGGACAAAGATATCATGATCAGAAATATTAGTGGAACAAAGATGACAGAAGGCCAGTGGATGTGCAAACCTATGCAGTTTTGAAAAAGTTTCAATTTCCTTTGGTGGCAGGTGGAAAGGCAGCAGATGGGATTCTCAGTGAAATGACACTCCAAAAATCAGAAACAATCAATCTGACTTTTGAGGATCTTGAAAGGCTGGCAAGACTTGCAAATACTGAAAGAATATACATGCATTTAAGGCAGGGGGGAGCTGTCTTTTTCTTTCCCTTCTCATATTTTTTAAGCAGACAATTTCTATTTAGAATCATAAATTAAAGACAACAAGTAGCTCCTCAGCTTCTCCTGATCTGCTCCCAGGTCCACTATGTTGAGTGATGGGTTCTGCATGCCTCTGGGAGGTCTCCATAGCAGAAAGGGAAAATGCAGACACCACCAGCATGTTTTGAGAATGCTACAGACTTTTCTCTATCCATGAAAGATAAGCAGGTGGTTCTTGATATAATTATTAATTACTCACAATTTTCACCAGTTGTGTTCATGGGACAGGATATGCTTACATGATAGAATAAAATTAATATATATGTCCTTTCTAATGCCTTATAGAATCTTGTTAAATTATCCTCTTTTGGTGATTCTTTTCTTGCTTTTACCCAAGGGTCTCTAAAGCTGCCTTTTAAGAGAAAGCATTTTAACAGATGTCCTGGTGCTCTAGGATGAAAGCATTATGGATATAGAATTGTCTTCACACCTCTTACAATCACCTCTTTTCACCTCTTCATGCAGTGAACACTTCCAGCTTGTTGTCACTACACTTGATTGCAGCATAGGAGGTTTGCAGGGTCAA